TCCAACAATCCCGATAGCATGCCCCCAGTCTCCAACAATCCCGATAGCATGCCCCCAGTCTCCAACAATCCCGATAGCATGCCCCCAGTCTCCAACAATCCCGATAGCATGCCCCCAGTCTCCAACAATCCCGATAGCATGCCCCCAGTCTCCAACAATCCCGATAGCATGCCCCCAGTCTCCAACAATCCCGATAGCATGCCCCCAGTCTCCAACAATCCCGATAGCATGCCCCCAGTCTCCAACAACTCCTATAGCATGACCCCATTCTCCAACAATCCCTAACTTGAGGCCACCGTGACAGAAAAGTTGACCATTATTGCTCTGTTAATCTAGAATGCTGATTATTTATTACAATAGAAAAACAAGGGAGAACGAGCATTCAAACATGTAAAAACATTATCAAAAATCAATGTAAGTTACTGTAATAATAACTCACATAAAATGATACTCTGCTTTCCCTTGAAGTGTTTTGAGTAACTGATGGAACGTAAGACGTAAAGTACATTATCTAAACAATAATCATTTTATGGACCTCAGAGTATTATTTTAAAGGATCATTACATTATAACAGTTTGACCCCGGGGTTTATCACAAAGTAACCCATCAACATGTATCCCTTTAATAATGACAGGAAGTCCTATTGCCAAGAGGTTGTTGTCCCTCTTCTGTAGCTCAGCAATCGGACATGTTTGATCAATGTACTGTACAGCGATGAATGGGGACAAATCCTTCATTGTCATGCTTTCTGAAGAACATTTGGCTTCTTTTTTTAGCCTTTATGACCAGACTGAGTTCTGTTACAAGCTCATCAACACTCATGGAATGATTTAGCAAATTAATAGGCTCGTTCCAACTTGTGTGATCTATGCCAACACGGCGATCAGCATTGAGGGATCGGGACTTTGATGTGTGATTGTTTGCGGCCATTTATTTGCTGTACAATAATGGAGTGCTTTTTATCTCCGGGGTTCAAAGGAACTCTGGGAAGCAGCTCAATAGGCAGCTGGAATACATGAGCAGTATGTTTGCTCTTTTACCTGCTAAATGACTTGCAATGATCTACGGCCGGTGTTTGCATACACATTTTACAGCCAGATCACTTTGGTAGTTCTTGGTTTAGCTTACTACTCCCTGGATCATCCTTCTGCTGATTGGAGGTGATGGTGCTGATGTATTGCTGCAGGAGACGAGGTGACGTAAAAAAATGCAGTTCCGAGCCAGAAAATCTGTCACCTGCCTTGGCTGCGCAGAGCGGCAGATGCGTGTAAATTACAGGACTGGCTGTACAGAAGCACAAATGCTTTGGCAGGTAAAACAGTAAAAATATATGTATTTGAGATGTCTATATATCTGCTTTAAGACTTTGCTCTCACGTGTCCTTTGCTCATGTATAAATGGGATACAGTTTAGCTGAAGCTGAACTTCAGCTGACACTTTCTAAGCAGTTCTAGTTACATTAGGAATAAAAGCTGCCCGCTGTAAGCACCCCTGTCAGTCTTATATGGTTCGTCCCAGTCCCTGTAACTGAAACATTTGCTGGACAGCTTGGTCTGTTACGGCCTGTCCACCCCAGCCTGTGTCCTAATATAATATGAGCCTCTTTGGCATGCCAACTGGAGTGCCTTGCGTACGGACAGCGGAGGGCAGTACCTTACGTTGGTAAAACCCAAAGCACGGTTTACCTTGTTAAACAACTTTATTGAAAAGTTAAACTGACATTTTATTCATTTTTTTGCACCGCACCAGAGGCAGCCCGTGAGTTCAGATGAGCTCTGGTGTGTTGAGTTAAAATGGAGCATGTCTGCGTTTTTATGCAACACACTGCAACCTGCCTCGTGGCAGCGAAGTGATGTAAACCGTAGGGCTGCAACTAACGTTTAGTTTCATAATCAATTAGTTAGCCGATTATTAACTTCGATTAATCGGATAGAGTATTAAAAAAAATAATAATACCGTCATTTATTTAAAATAAAATACACAAATGCAGCATTACAGACAAAGTTTACTTCAGAATAAAGCGGTATGCACATAAAAAAAAAAATTGTACTGCACTGGAATACAGGGGAGGAACTGGGCGGCAGCGGAAGCACAGGGTGTGGTCGAGGCGGGCACGGCCGAGGCGCAAGGGAGGCGAGGCCGAGTCTGAAAGGGGGCGTGGCTGAGGCGGAAATGGGGTCAGGCAAGAGGAGACTCGAGGCAGCAGCTGAGGAACGGGCCGGGCAAGAGGAGACAGGAGGCAGCAGCAGAGGAGTGGGCAGCACAGAAGCAACCTGGCAGCAGTGGAGGTACGAGGGGGGGCAGCAGGGGAAGAGTCTGCAGTTACAGAACAAATGGTCACCGGCACTCCAAGTTTCCTTCAAAACTAAATCCTTTGAAACATGTCCGGTCCCTTCATCAGGCAAACAAAAGTGATATCATTTTGTTTGCCTGATGAATGGACCAGACAGGTTCCGAAACGTTGCCACGCACAGTGATATGACCTGCTAGAATGATTTAAAGGATTTTGTTTTGAAGGAAACTTGGAGTGCCGGTGACCATTTGTTCTGTTTTGCCTGTAAGGAAGGTCTCCCAGGGTCATCGGGCCCAAAAAGTTCCAGCGCTGAACTGCATAGTGTGGCGGTGTTATGTTGTCTCTTTTATCGCCCAGTAACATCCTCTACTCTTCCAATCGTCTGGTATATGTGACCCCTTCAACATCATCGCTATGAACCCATTGTTGATGTTGTCACTTACGCTGCGGGTCCTAGAGTAACGAGCTCGTGCTTCAGGATCGCCCAGCATGCTAATAAAGATGGGGGGCACTAGATTCATGACTGCCTGCGCGGTCAGGTGACAAAGTGCGTCAATGCATCACAGTGTGTATGGCTCCCGGGCTGATTGTTGCTATGGAAACCAATCCGTAAGAGTCTCAAGACATATATCACATCAGGTCTGTGTTTACCCGTCGGCCGCAAGCTTGATATTTGTTTTGGTGTCACACTGGCGGTGCGGGAGGTTTAATTCTCAGCAAATCCTTCAGATCTCTTCCCTGAGGACTCATGGGGGTCAGCGGGATGGTCTCCAGATTGTCCCTCCATGTAAACCCAGAAATAAAACACAACTACATATCACAACTACATGTGCTGCACACATAAATAACACAAGGCATGCAGGGGAAGCAGCAAGCATGCTTTGATTTGTTGTTCCCCAGCAGCTCAGAGGGCCTTAAATCGCTGATTTCTGCTTTGTACACTGAGCTATGCTAATGGTACCATATTGCATTATTGCAGCGCAGAGCTCTGTGCTCTCAACATAATGTAATGCAGCTTAAAAACAGTAGACGGGACGAGATACGACATCAGCAGAATAAATGGCCAGTCAGCTCCTTAGTGCTTCTCCATATGAAGGTAATTTCCTTCACCATAACTCTCGGCAGGGATTGATTTAACCAATTCAGAACAACGCAGATTTAACGTAGAACTTCAGCGAGAGCTTTTTTTTTCTGTACTATTGGGTAGAATGTGGAAGTATCAGACCCTCAGCCAGGTTTTTATTGCTGTGTTTACCCTTCCTGTGTATCCTGGTGACTCTTATTACCCACACAGCAAGCGAGGGGGAAATTCAAAACTGTGCTTGTCATTGAAAGAAGAGTAGAGGGGAAATCTTCCAATGGGGGCATCTGTTTCAATGATAACTGCCAAACATTACATTTGGAGAGAGTTCTACTTACTTCCTATTGTCTATGGGAAAGGAAATGAAGGGAAGGTACCAATCTGAAAAAAGGGGCATTGGATGGAGTTCTACTTATAAAACAAAAACACTCAACTGTCTGACAAGGCGGAGATCACTACTGCCAATGTGTATATGGGCTTCTTCACATCTACACCTTCCATGCAAGTATACCTACCATGCACCTACACCTTCCATGCACGTACACCTACCATGCACGTACACCTACCATGCACCTACACCTACCATGCACCTACACCTACCACGCACATACACCTACCATGCACCTACACCTTCCATGCACGTACACCTACCATGCACCTACACCTACCACGCATGTACACCTACCATTCACCTACACCTACACCTACCACGCACGTACACCTTCCATGCACCTACACCTTCCATGCAACTACACTTACCACGCACCTACACCTACCATGCAACTACACCTACCATGCAACTACACCTACCATGCGCCCACATCTACCATGCACCTACACCGTCCATGCAACTACACCTACCATGCGCCTACATCTACCATGCACCTACACCGTCCATGCAACTACACCTACCATGCACCTACACCTTCCATGCAACTACACTTACCACGCACCTACACCAACCATGCACCTATACCTTCCATGCACCTAACACCTACCATGAATCTACACCTACCATGCACCTAAACCTTCCTTGTACCTACATCTATCATGCACCTACACCTACCATGCACTTATACCTTCCATGCACCTACACCTACCATGCACCTTCACCTCCTACACACATCCTCCTACACACCTACACCTTTCATGCAACTACACCTACACCTTCAGTGCAACCACACGTTCTACACATCTACACCCTCCACACACCTACACCTTCTACACAACTGCACCTTCTAAGCACCAGCGTCTTCCATGTACTGACACCTTCCATGCACCTGCACCTATATCTTGTGAGTCTGGTGTGACTCGGTAGTGCCTTTTGCTTGGTAAGTACACATAGCATTGTGATACATGATGTAGTACGTTGCATTGATCCTCTGCATCTAAATAAATGGTACATTACAACACACACATTACAATCCTTTCAGACAGGTCATTGCAGATGCATTGATTGGGATCGGTGGGGATATGAAATAGCCTTCCACAGCAGAATGCCAACATATTAAGGGAGAACATTGTAAATGGTTTTCTCAGCAAACTGATCTATGTTCATAACCTTCACTTTGTTGTCAAATTTCCTTCCACTTTAATCATCTGTGAATGAAATTGTGTGATTTGAAGGTGATCGAAGAGATCGAGGAGATGATGCAAAACTCGCCAGACCCTGAGGAAGAACTGGACGAGGAGGACAATGATCTGGAAGTCATCTCCACTCACTCTGACTCCGTCCTCTTACAGGAGATGCAGGCCTTGAGCAAGACCTTCAACAACAACTGGACCGCTGAGGGTAAGTCCGCTCCTCCAATCAGCAACAGTAAGGCCGGCGGTTCCATATAACATATACTACAACGTTCCTCTGCATAAAGAAGTAAGGCCTTGGCCGTTTGCACTTTGCATGACATTTGATTTCTCTCGGACCATCACAAAATTATGTTACATAGGATTTTAAAGAATAGTGATTTAGTAGGATAGATAAAAACGAATAGGGAAAGTAGGAAGGTGATCACAATACAAATCCAGGGTACATTGACTAACTGACCATACCCCAAACATTACATACAACCTCAGCTGTTTGTCATTAATATCGCCCAGTAATGGATCAGAACCAACCAAAAATAGCAAAACCTTTTCTCAAATATAGCCAAGTAGCAAAAAAATTAATGTTCAAAAGCCCCCAAAAGATTCAGATATGTATTCACTAACATTTCATTTATGAAACACCATAAATTGGCCGGCAACACACATCTTTTTTTGTGGACTGAGTGGTGTCAGCCCTGCCCAGTGTCTTTTCCTAAACTACTCAGCCACTCCCACCCCCAGCTCTCCACATCATAAAGACTCATCATTCAAGATAAGAACTAGGAGGGCTAAATAGAATGGCCTCATTGGAATAACACAAAGGACAAGATTAAAGGAGAACTATGGGGTCAGGGCTTTTCCCCATAGTTCTGCTTAGGGTAACGGGAGGACACAAACTAGCGTCCTCCCATCACCCTAAGCTCAGTATACCGCGAGCTACAGCTATACTGAGACGCCGCAGCCGGAACGGATCCCGACAATTATGCCGGGATCCACCCAGCTGCGTGAGTGACAGCTAGCCCTGCCTCTAGATAGCTGTACCCACCCCCTCCCCCGTCCGTTGCTCCAGTGAGCGCTGAAGGATCGGAGCGGATAGGGGGAATCCAGTCCCTCCCCTGCCACGGCAGAGAGCCGTGACAGGATCGAGAAGTGAGCGAACGCCGGTATGTGTTCGCTCACTTCCCGATCTACTGAGCCGACCTGTGACAGTCTCATTGTCACAGGTCGGCTAGAACTATGAGGTGAGTGAAAAGCACTCGCCTCATAGTCCTCCTTTAACAGTTATTGGTGCACTTATCAGACAGATATAACAAAAAATTCAAACTGTTCCGATATTTGCCAGACCATAGGGAGCAAATAAGAGAAGTTCATTGATAGGGCGTACATACACTCTGATGTGTAGACTAACTAACATTTCTGTAGGAGGTGTGGGTAGCAAGAAGCTGGGCGAATGCTGTTTGCAAGGCTTTATCACCACTAGATGGCGCCAAGGGGCATAGGAATTTTCTTTGCTCCTAGGCACCAACTAGTGGCAGTAATGCCGTGTGAACGCCATTCATCCAGCTATACGGGGAGAGAAAGGTTTAGGCCTCATTTACACTGGCGGACAATACGCTGCGTATAGATGCGCGCAGTGTATTTTCCCATATGCAGCATATGCAAATAAATGGCTCCATACACATAGCTGCGTATGGAGCCATATATTTGCACTGCGTAAAGATGCACAAAAAAAATGTACCCGAGATGCGTCCACGCTCCGTATTTCTGCGTATTTTACACGCGTATGCGGATATAAGCGTGTGTCAGCGTGTTCAGTACATTAAAATCTCTATTAAGACTGATGCATTCTGGGATTGCATACAGTGCACGCATACGCGCATATACACAATATACAATTTTGCTCTTACGTGGTGTGTGTATGAGGCCTTGTACATCAGCGACTGAATACTTCTTGCTACCTACACCCCCTATATATATCATTGTTACAGTGTACATTGTATGTAAACATTGAACTTCTCTTATTTGCTACCATTTGGTCCAGAAGATATTGGAACAATAAGAAGTTTTTCTGTTATATCTGTAAATTGTGAGTTTTTATTTAGTGGCAGATAACTGTCTTGAGCATTAATAGAGGCAGAATGACAGCACAATGAAAAATGGGCAAACATTGCTGCATAACGTTGTAGAGAGCTCTGTAGACGCTCCTTTATATCACATTATGATACGGCACGAATGCCACAGCTTGCGCCTATTGTTACACAGCAGCAGCTTCAGCTTGTACTGTGAGCGCCACCTGGTGGCAACAAGCTGTAGGACGTGGCTGCATTTAAACAAAGAACAACAAAGCTCAATTATAGCTCAATTATAGCCCCGCCTTCTTTTGTGACATCACTTATCCAATTGTGTCTCTATTTATATATCAGTAAAGCTGCTGACTGTTGTTGCCAATGGAAAAAAAAAAAAATCCTGCAATCCTGGCTTTTGCATGTCCTTGGTTGTAGAGTAACGGGTAATGGAGTTTAGGTCTCACGTCAGCTACTGCTTTAAATGGGAAAATAAAATTAAATATATATTACAGCGCCAAAAGTTCCCACACTGTACATACACATCCATCAGTCCCGGCCCTCAGGGAGCTTACAGTTTAAGGTCCCTATCTCACATGCATACATACACCCACTACACCCGCAACGGTGTGGGCAGCCTCCATTGACTTCAATGCGAATTTGTGTTTTGCGATATATCGCGCCACTCAAACAGCGTGACAAATCGCCTAGGTGTGCACGGGCCCTTAGGGCTAAGGCAGCCGCGCGGCAGTTTTTCGTGTTCAGAAGCACGGGCGGAATCGCAGCGGGAAACCACGCAATTCGCCCGGCGCAACTGGGGTGCCATTGGAAAATAATGACACCCACAGCGCGATCGGTGCACACCTATACAACTCCTGACCGCGTGGCAATCCGTGCAAAATCGTGCATGATGGCCACGCGATGGGGTGTCGCCTATGTGTGCACCGGCCCTCAGAGGAATATAAACATAACATTGGTGAGCCAAGTCAGGGTGATGTACCCGAACGCATGTGTATTGCACTGCCCCGCACACCCCTATAGCAGTCTGTGCGGATAGAAGATGTAAGCAGATCATTTGGCAGCCGATTTTAAAGCGCTGGAGATGCTCGTGTATTCTCATACAGCTGCGGAACTCTTTATTGATTTCTAATATTCCTATAAATGGCGTTTCTCCTCCTCATACATGTGGCTTGTGCTGATGTACAGCAGAGATGGAAACATTGATATTAATGACAATGGGATTCTCGCATAAATAATTTGCCCCTAGAGGACTCGTAGGCCAAATCATCATTTATTGACAACTCATTTGGGTCGCGCTGTATCGGTAAACTGCACATACAGTCAGGGCCGGATTTCCCACAAGGCCAACTCTTTCTTAGTGTTGAAGTACAAGTCCCAGCATGCTCTCTGGCCGGATTCACTCTCGTGGGTGGCTGGAAACTACGTGGGCAATCTAGTTCTGTCACTGAACATAGCTATTTAGGTGGACGCTGCCTTTGGTATCATACCTGCCCTAGGTATATTTGATTGCTGTTGACACTTTGAGGCAAAGTGCACTTGATCATTCTGCCCCCTTCTCTGACCTAAACAATTCCAAGCTCCCCCTCTGCAGGGCTATACTTACCGAGGGCTAAATCTCTGCTGTTTGCAGCGCTGCATGTCTCCCTCTCCAGGCCATAGAAATCTATGGGGCTGTAATTTGCAGGTGTGGCCAGCAGAGGGAGCTCTGGATGTAAAGAAGAACAGAGCCTTGTCCATCAGATCCTGGTAAGTACGGATCTGCAGAGTGGGAGGGAGTGGTCAGGGGTGGTGGGCAAAGAGGATACGTGCACTTTACTTTACAGTTCACTTTAAAGAGACTATGATGCCAAAATATTTATTTCCAGAGCAGTCTTCCCATTGGATTATGTGTGTTTTCAGCATGTCGTCTACCTGTTAAACCCTCCATTGTATAGATTATATACAATACCCTAAACCATCTTCTTTGTTCATCGCTGCGATGTATAACAGAGTCTGTTCTCCATCTTGTGACATCCAGCAGGACTTCAACACATGAGCAGAGCGGAGCTGACCGAGCTATTGGAACGCGTGGAACGAGCCATCTGCGACTACTCGGAGGAGCTGGTGCAGCAGCTGGCCAGACGGGACGAGTTGGAGTTTGAGAAGGAGGTGAAGAATTCCTTCATCACGGCTCTCCTGGAGGTCCAGAACAAGCAGAAGGAACACAGAGAGCTGGTGAAGAAGAGGAGGAAAGAGAAAGGGCTGAGCCTGCAGAGCAACCGCTCCGAGAGACACGGCCAGATGCCCATGAAGGTAGATGAATGACCTCATACAGAGATTTCATTGTGTCACCGCCGCACTGCGCCCACCCTGACCTCTCCCGGGCCTTTTCCACAGCGCTTCAGCATGGAGGGAATCTCCAACATCCTGCAGACGGGAATCAGGCAAACTTTTGGGAATTCTGGGAATGAGAAGCAGGTGAGTCTGCAGAAGACACCATGATGGGAACGTTTGTTATTCTCGGCGTTCTGGGGCAGAAACGATTACTTGTGTCACATTGCATGTAACTGCCGGGCCACCGTAGCTGACATACAGGACGGTCTGTGCAAATCTTACTAGACTCGGAAAAATTTATTTTTCGGACGAATTTTCGGTATTTCGGAGATTCAGATGTATCCAAATTTCCGAATAACAGAAATTACGAATTGAAACGAATCTGAACTTCTGAAAACGAAATTTCGGGGCGAACTTCGTAAGCGGTAGTCTGTAGGAATTTGCGTTTGTGGACGCATTTTTGTTGCAGCAAAGTGACATTAAATTTTTGTTTTGTTTTGTTACTTTGCTGCAACAAACGAAAATTCGTACAGACTACCGCTAACGAATTTCGTCCGAATACGAATCCCGAAACGAATTGACTTTCGGACCCGAATCCCGAAAAACAAAATAACGCAAAATCCGAATGAAAACAAAACGAAACGAAACAAATGTATTGCCCGCGCACATGTCTAGATCTTACATTGCATTGCAGGGCAGCAGCGGCAAATGTAAACATGGAATCTCGCTAGGCCCTGCTGGCAATGCTTTTCTTTGTTATTGTTGTCATATATCAGTACCGCCCCCTCAGAACTCAGAGCTCTTCCGGGTTTAATATTTCAGAGCTCTTCCGGGTTTAATATTTCTTTCCCTTTTTGTTTTCCGCAGTATTTGAACACAGTCATCCCGTATGAGAAGAAAGCCACGCTCCCATCTGTGGAAGACTTGCAGATGCTAACAAACAGTAAGATCCCCACCAGTGGCAAGCTTGAGATTTATACATTGTAACCTATTACTGTAACTCTTTTTACTTATATATATTCTGATGCTCAGAGCCGTAGCTAGCTCCTTTTGCGCCCGAGGCAAGAACAGAAAACTGTGCCCCCCCCCCCCAACAGACATGTGACGTGCGCCCCGCCTCCAGGCTTCCCATTCATTCACAAACTGCTGATAGTACAATATTTACTATCATCCAGTTATCAATGGGTAGAAGCCTGTATAGTGAGTGCTTCCACCCATTGAGAAACTCATGAATGAACAGGAAGTGAGGTAAAGCACTTCCGGTTTATCCATAACTGGGGACCCATAGTACTATGTGCCCCCAGTTATTTACAAACATTGGAGTGATCAGCTGATCACTCCAGTGTTTGCTCTGCACAAAGAGGATCGCCTATATCACTGATATTTACCGATCCTCCGCTCTGCCATCCTGAGCGCCGAAGCCAGCAGGGGGGCTGAGGAGGGAGAGCTGAAGCCGGTGGGTGGGGGGTGGCGAAGGAGGGAGCGCTGTCACTTCAGGATGGATGGGGTGAGGAGAGAGAGAGAGCTGCCGGCTGTCAGGCCCTGTCTGAGTGGCTATCTCTTCACCGCTCGGCCATCCTGGATGACAGCTCCCCCCCCCATACAGGCAGGGGAAAGCAGCAAGGATCTGTGGGGAAGCTGAAGCCTGTGTCAACCCTCTTCTCCCTGCCAAGCCACAGCTGTGTTGACCGCCTGGCTCCCCTGTTGCCATGGTGCCCTGTGCTCGCCATGGCAACAGAGGCGAGGGGGGTGCAGCCAGATTGGCCCTGGCTGCGCCTGAGGCGAGTGCCTCACCCGCCTCATGGTAGCTACGGCCCTGCTGAAGCTGACCGTACAGTGTTAGTTAGTCTTGATTCCCCCATCCGCACTAAGAGCAGTCTTGTATTCTGACAGCGAAGGGTGTGCCACTGTCAGAATACTGGAACAGTGACTGCAGATGATTGGTTGCATAATAATTTTTTGGACTGGCTGCTATAACAAAAGTAGATTGAGAAATGGACTTTTGTCGTAGAAGAAAAGAATCCCTACAAGACTTGGCCAAAATTCAACCATTGTATGGCCAGCTTTAGCCATGTGCTGATTGTATGTGGAACGATACTGCCCTCATGTGACCGCACAGCGCTATTCTTGTTGAACTCCAGGCAGATATAAAGGACACAAGTGAATGGAGCTCTATGTTCATCGGTCTGAGGATTGAACACGTCATTCAATTCTAGACCATCAGGTTATCTGTTGTTTTATTTGTTCTTGGTTCTGATCGTCTTTGTTGCATCTCTATTGGACTGATTCTGGACATCCAGACAGACAGAAGAATTTCCGTGTCTCTCAATAGATGAGAAAGACATTTTTTTTTTGTGCTCGCCATGAAATCCTTTATTTTGAAGTCCATTGAGGGACACAGGTCTTGACGCTCTGATTTCTTTTCAAGCTCTTGGTACTACTTTGCTACAAAACTGAGGCATGATAGTGGTGGGCCTCGGCTCCTCGGCTGGTCAACATTTGTTTTGTTGCCGGTGTTCATTTCTCCTGTGGGTGGCAGTATAACCTGACAGTCTAAAGGTGCCCACACACCTATAGATTATCGTACGGTAGTTGTTGGTGATCCTGCGATCGTACGATAATCGGAAGGTGTATGGGCAGCGTGCGCCCGCTTCTACTGTAAGGCCGCACGACTTTCGTCTTCCGAGCACGCTGGAAAACCTGCCGAAAATTGTAGCGTGCTCGGAAGACGAAAGCTGCATGGGCTGGTGTGCACAAGCGCACACTGCCCGCTCACCATTGCAATCATGGGCAAGCCCTCACCTCAGCGTGGAGGGCTTGCGATGATCGCACGTACGATCTGCCTGTCCAAGATGTTCAGGTCGTAAGAAATTTTAATGACCTTACAACCATCGCACAATGAAAGTCGTGCGATAGTTGTAAGGTGTATGGACAGCTTTAGAATTCCTGTGTCCCTCAATGGGCTCCAAGAAAAACGATTTTATGGTCAGTGCAATAATAATATTTTTTAAATTAGAGCAGAGAAAGTACTTTTATTTGACCTGGTATCAGCGTCTTGCAGACCCTGTACATCAGAACACAGACTGGGAGATGGAGAAGCAGAACCAGGAGCCAGTTAGTTGTGCTAGAGGGCTCATGTGCTTACAAGGAACATGCTGATAGGTGACAGAGAGATGAGCTCATCAGTTTACTGCCTCTTCTTACACTGTCCAATCACAGGCTGAGGGAGGGGCAAGAACTGTAAGTGTTACTTAAAGGAGACCTATGAGGTTAAGTCTTTTCCCACGATATCGCTCTCCAATGCATGGCAATGGGGCTCTGTCCGTCGCTGTCGCGGGTCGTGCGTCGCTACAGCAGGACCCTTTTTGGAGCGGATTTTGCCGCTATTCTAGCTTGCTCAATGCAAGCATTTGCTCGATATCGCGCAAAATGCAAATCGCGCGACAAACGCGCGATTTGCGAATCGCTCAGTGTGAATGGGGCTTTAGGGTAACAGGGGGACACAAACTAGCATCCTCCCGTCACACTAAGCTCAGTATACCGCAAGCTACAGCTTGCGGTATACTGAGACGCCGCAGCGGATCCCGGCAATTATGCCGGGATCCGCCCAGCTGCGTGAGTGACAGCTGGCTCTGCCTATCTAAAGGCAGAGCCAACTGTACCCACCCCGTCCGTTCTGCCAGTCAGCGCTGGCGGATCGGAGCGGGGAGGGGGGAATCCAGCCCCTCCCCTGTCATGGCAGAGAGCCGTGACAGGATCGAGAGGTGAGCGAACGCCGGTATGTGTTCGCTCACTTCCCGATCTACTGAGCCGACCTGTGACAGTCTCATTGTCACAGGTCGGCTAGAACTATGAGGTGAGTGAAAAGCACTTGCCTCATAGTTCTCCTTTAACTGCAGGAGAGGGATTTCAGGCCTCTTCCCATGCCAGAGAGGGCGTGACTGAGCCTTGTAAATCTCAGAACTGGATGGACAGAAATACAAATCATTTGGCGAGTTATCAGCCTCCTTATATGTTTTTCATCTGTGTGTTTAGCTGTCTGCCTGGAGTTCAGCTTCATCACCAATGCAATGTTACTGACACTATGCCTTGTCTCTGCAGTACTGTATGCAATGAAAGAAGACAGTGAAAAGGTTCCCATGTTATTAACGGACTACATTTTAAAGGGTAAATCATTTCTTTAGTGTTTTCGTTTTGATGTGCATGCCATCACCCAAAATCTCATCACTTACTCCGGACACACTGAGCCGTATGAATCCATCACTGACTGTGTTGCCCCCATTGCAACTTTGTAATGAGAGGAGGAACGTGGTTCCTGGGCAGAGGCAGAATTCTTAGGTGGCCAGTTTTAGTTTTTTCATTTTTGTTTTTATGTACCTCTGACGCCTCTGACGCATGTGATAGTATAATGGGATAATGTGTGTTCATCGGTTCTGATTTATAAAACAGTTCATATGTATCATCCTTTACATAGCTCATGGATCGATAATGGACTTCAGCTCTGGTACGTCCCCTCCTCCCTCTCAGATTTCACTATTGGTCAGTAAGGACATTCATTATAGTAAATGGCCAGAAGTGAGATCAATGAGGCTGGAGGTGATGCCAAAGTGCGACTTTGCTGCTGAAGTGGCGAGTAAGGCCTCATTCATACAGGTGTCTTCATTTGTATGGTGTGCATGCCCATGAAGAGACCTGCTCCCAGGGGGGTGGGGGTGGGGGGCAAGTGCAGCTTGTAATTGCATGCAGCTGCCTGTACATTCCCGCGATTATCGTACGATAATCGCAAGGTGTATGGGCACCTTAAGACAGGCTACACGCCACCCCAAACCTGCACGTCCGAGACACACAGTCTGGGATATATAGGTCTGGTGCACACACATGGTCACAGACAGTCTGGGATATAAAGGTCTGGGTGCACACACATGGTCACAGACAGTCTGGGATATATAGGTCTGGGTGCACACACATGGTCGCAGTCTGGGATATATAGGTCTGGGTGCACACACATGGTCGCAGTCTGGGATATATAGGTCTGGGTGCACACACATGGTCGCAGTCTGGGATATATAGGTCTGGGTGCACACACATGGTCGCAGTCTGGGATATATAGGTCTGGGTGCACACACATGGTCGCAGTCTGGGATATATAGGTCTGGGTGCACACACATGGTCGCAGTCTGGGATATATAGGTCTGGGTGCACACACATGGTCGCAGTCTGGGATATATAGGTCTGGGTGCACACACATGGTCGCAGTCTGGGATATATAGGTCTGGGTGCACACACATGGTCGCAGTCTGGGATATATAGGTCTGGGTGCACACACATGGTCGCAGTCTGGGATATATAGGTCTGGGTGCACACACATGGTCGCAGTCTGGGATATATAGGTCTGGGTGCACACACATGGTCGCAGTCTGGGATATATAGGTCTGGGTGCACACACATGGTCGCAGTCTGGGATATATAGGTCTGGGTGCACACACATGGTCGCAGTCTGGGATATATAGGTCTGGGTGCACACACATGGTCGCAGTCTGGGATATATAGGTCTGGGTGCACACACATGGTCGCAGTCTGGGATATATAGGTCTGGGTGCACACACATGGTCGCAGTCTGGGATATATAGGTCTGGGTGCACACACATGGTCGCAGTCTGGGATATATAGGTCTGGGTGCACACACATGGTCGCAGTCTGGGATATATAGGTCTGGGTGCACACACATGGTCGCAGTCTGGGATATATAGGTCTGGGTGCACACACATGGTCGCAGTCTGGGATATATAGGTCTGGGTGCACACACATGGTCGCAGTCTGGGATATATAGGTCTGGGTGCACACACATGGTCGCAGTCTGGGATATATAGGTCTGGGTGCACACACATGGTCGCAGTCTGGGATATATAGGTCTGGGTGCACACACATGGTCGCAGTCTGGGATATATAGGTCTGGGTGCACACACATGGTCGCAGTCTGGGATATATAGGTCTGGGTGCACACACATGGTCGCAGTCTGGGATATATAGGTCTGGGTGCACACACATGGTCGCAGTCTGGGATATATAGGTCTGGGTGCACACACATGGTCGCAGTCTGGGATATATAGGTCTGGGTGCACACACATGGTCGCAGTCTGGGATATATAGGTCTGGGTGCACACACATGGTCGCAGTCTGGGATATATAGGTCTGGGTGCACACACATGGTCGCAGTCTGGGATATATAGGTCTGGGTGCACACACATGGTCGCAGTCTGGGATATATAGGTCTGGGTGCACACACATGGTCGCAGTCTGGGATATATAGGTCTGGGTGCACACACATGGTCGCAGTCTGGGATATATAGGTCTGGGTGCACACACATGGTCGCAGTCTGGGATATATAGGTCTGGGTGCACACACATGGTCGCAGTCTGGGATATATAGGTCTGGGTGCACACACATGGTCGCAGTCTGGGATATATAGGTCTGGGTGCACACACATGGTCGCAGTCTGGGATATATAGGTCTGGGTGCACACACATGGTCGCAGTCTGGGATATATAGGTCTGGGTGCACACACATGGTCGCAGTCTGGGATATATAGGTCTGGGTGCACACACATGGTCGCAGTCTGGGATATATAGGTCTGGGTGCACACACATGGTCGCAGTCTGGGATATATAGGTCTGGGTGCACACACATGGTCGCAGTCTGGGATATATAGGTCTGGGTGCACACACATGGTCGCAGTCTGGGATATATAGGTCTGGGTGCACACACATGGTCGCAGTCTGGGATATATAGGTCTGGGTGCACACACATGGTCGCAGTCTGGGATATATAGGTCTGGGTGCACACACATGGTCGCAGTCTGGGATATATAGGTCTGGGTGCACACACATGGTCGCAGTCTGGGATATATAGGTCTGGGTGCACACACATGGTCGCAGTCTGGGATATATAGGTCTGGGTGCACACACATGGTCGCAGTCTGGGATATATAGGTCTGGGTGCACACACATGGTCGCAGTCTGGGATATATAGGTCTGGGTGCACACACATGGTCGCAGTCTGGGATATATAGGTCTGGGTGCACACACATGGTCGCAGTCTGGGATATATAGGTCTGGGTGCACACACATGGTCGCAGTCTGGGATATATAGGTCTGGGTGCACACACATGGTCGCAGTCTGGGATATATAGGTCTGGGTGCACACACATGGTCGCAGTCTGGGATATATAGGTCTGGGTGCACACACATGGTCGCAGTCTGGGATATATAGGTCTGGGTGCACACACATGGTCGCAGTCTGGGATATATAGGTCTGGGTGCACACACATGGTCGCAGTCTGGGATATATAGGTCTGGGTGCACACACATGGTCGCAGTCTGGGATATATAGGTCTGGGTGCACACACATGGTCGCAGTCTGGGATATATAGGTCTGGGTGCACACACATGGTCGCAGTCTGGGATATATAGGTCTGGGTGCACACACATGGTCGCAGTCTGGGATATATAGGTCTGGGTGCACACACATGGTCGCAGTCTGGGATATATAGGTCTGGGTGCACACACATGGTCGCAGTCTGGGATATATAGGTCTGGGTGCACACACATGGTCGCAGTCTGGGATATATAGGTCTGGGTGCACACACATGGTCGCAGTCTGGGATATATAGGTCTGGGTGCACACACATGGTCGCAGTCTGGGATATATAGGTCTGGGTGCACACACATGGTCACAGTCTGGGATATAGGAATGTACAGGTGGCTGCATGTAATTACAGACTGCACCTGTCCCTCCTGGGAGCAGGTCTCTGCACGGGCGTGCACGCTGTACGGGTGTGCATGCCTGTGTGGATGAGGCCTTATAGAATGGAGTCCTCCAGAATCTGCCTAAAGGAACATGCAGCCACCTCTGGGCTCCTACAAGCACTGAGCCACATATATGGTCCCTTTAAACTAAACATGTAATATGCAGGGACTACTATTGTTGACTTGCCTCTGAAAATGTTATATGCCTGGCTGACCCCCTTCCTTCAATACATCACAGATGTTAAACAAGCAAGCACAGAAATGTTAAAACAAAGTCAGAGGTCTGTACTTGCAGGTTCTGGCTCGGTGACTCAAAATATTGGAACAAGAGGGTCAGCAGAAGGTGAATAGTGGCATCCTCCATGTTTCTCTGATGACAGGTTAGTGATGCAATGCTCCGTAGTGTTTGTGTATCAGCCAGTAAGAATGCAGCATCTTGGGATGGGGCAGGCTAATGAAAGCTGATTGGTTGTCTCTTGTAATTGTTCCGTGCTGTTCTCTCCGTCATATCATTCTATAAATACGAGTCTTGCCATTTACTCCACCTGAAAATAATCTTTTGTTTTCTCTCTAGTGCTGTGCCCAACCTAACGTGTCGTCTCCCCAGCACCGATCAGGGACAACGTATGTGTTACATCAGGACTGCATGACATAACATTTAAATTTGCATTGAATTAATCCAAACTACATGCCGGTATTATTACCTATTGCTTTCTCATCAATTTAACCTCTTCCTGGTCAGAGAAGCCCGGAACTTACCCCCATTAGGTTCTGTGTTGACCCGACCTCTGAATCTTCTACCGGCACATCTGCCCTCTGCTGGTCACAGGTGGTAGTCAGGTGTGTTTATAGCAGACTCCTTACCTGGAGGTCTTGTTCTATTGTCATAACCAAGGTAAAACAAGATTTTGGGACCATTCTGTGTCCTTTGCAGGCAAGCCATCCTAACTATGTGATATGTAAACCGCTTTGAATGAAGACAAAGTATTGTCCTTTCTGGAGGAAGAGGAACGAAGCACCAGATAATACAATCCTATCCAGTCCTTCATGAACTGGCAATGGCTGCTTGTTCATATTGGTCCCTTCGGCTCTATTTATCTGTACCGGGTTAGTGTTTATGGAATCTGCTTCATGCCCCTAAATTCTAGTCGGTTCGCCCTTCTTTTTTTCTTCTCCTCCTCCTCCAGTTTGATTGCCGAAGTTTGGACCCGTCTCTTGTACCTTGGCGTCTATCTTTTCCTTGTATTGAGTTATTTTGTGGACGTGTCGGCAGAAGATACCGGATTGTATGTCATGTGTGTGCGCTTTGCCAAACGAGTAGCTTTAACGGAAAGCGTTTCCTTACCTCTGAGTATCGCCAGAAGTATTCTCATCTGCCCCCATCACACTCTAATTTATCATTTATGCAGCAATACGGTACCTCAAGACGGACAGATGGACGAGGTGGCAGCTCAGCCACAAGGGAGGGAGGTCTCTGTACATTGTAGTGTGTTAGAATGTATCTTGCGATATATATTTACATGATAGTAAAATAAATCTCATGTAGTGACGTTGCTGTGTGTTCTGTGTTCTGTGTTCTTACCTGGGGACAGAGCTCTTTATCCAGAGACCGGTCTCTATGGCTCAAGACTGATCAGATAATATTTCATTTAAGGGGCAGTACCGAGTCAGCTGTAAATGGATCAATTAGCATGAATGGATCAAGCAGCATGAAGGGATCAACCAACAGGACATTTGTGGGTAAAACTTAAGGTTGTACAGGAAATACACAGGGATCCCAACCTGAAATAAGTCATTTCAGGGAGGTCCCCTTCTCATTTCAGGAAGGGGTGCAACAACCAGGAAGAGAGCACCCCCCTGAAAGGATGGCAGATAGCAAAGAAGCTATTGCTTCCCTTGCAACGGTATCTGCTGGGTTTTTTTTGTATTCTGACAGCTGCTGTCAGAATAAACCCCCCCCCCCCCCCCAAAAAAAAACAAAGAACTGCATGAAAATGAACAGCTAGATTGCTATTGGCTATTTCAATTTGCAATAGCCAATAGCAAGCTGTCTATTGCACTTGCCCACTGCTGCTGTCAGTCAGCAGGAGGACCAGATGGAGAACCTCAGGTCCACCTCTGCTGATTGATAGCAGCAGTGGGCGGGTGCAATAGCTAGTCTGCTATTGGCTATTGCAAATTCAAATAGCAATCTAGCTATTTATTCCTATGCCATTTTTTCCCCTGACTGACGCCCCCCCGGTTTTCAGGGTGAAAAAAACCAGAGCAGAGAAAGGTTTACTCTGCTAGATCGAGCGGAGTAAACCTTTCCGGGACAAAATGTGTCTCTCCCGGGTGTCCAGGAGCCGCTATCTAATAGCGGGAGACTTCCGGAACATGCGGGAGAGTTGAGATGTCTGAATGCATACTTTTAAAATACGAGGTGCCGGGGACTGTCGGGCTTAATTCCTGCCAGATTCTCTGCGTTCTTGGAGGCTGAGGACAGAAAAATTGCACATTCCGAGCTGACCAATTATTATGCAGTTCCCCATGAGACATACAAGTGTTTTCAGCTGACATGGGCAATTTATCAAAACTGGACGGAAGTGAGCACACGTTTCCCATAGTAACCAGTCTGTTTCCTTTCCATGGTTTAATACACGGCTGTCTTTGGCTTTTGTGATCAAAGCTGATTTGGTTGCCCATGTCTCTTATACAACATACACAGTAATGCCTTATTCACATGGACGGCAGGCTCCATCGCCCCTCTAAAAAATGTATTGTGGTGGATCGC